TGCGCCTGCGCTCTTCACACGCCTCCTGCAGGGCACATTTGGTAAAGTTCGTGCATGCAGGCTGCCGCCAAGCAGAGGGAGTAGCACAGCTAAGGAAAAGGGTAAAAAAAAAATGGCGGACGGTGTTGTTTGGCGACCCCCGTGAAATGGTCGTGCGACCCCAAATGGGGTCGCGACCCACAGGTTGAGAACCGCTGATTTAAAAGAAGATATTGTTGATGGAAAATACTGAGCTTTCATATATCATATTTTGCATCCTCCTCCTGCTATGGTAGAATTATAGTTTTTCTAGTTATTTTTTCCCTGCATCAATACTGTACCCTTGACAGAATTGCTTGAAAAAATTGATCCTAATTGATAATACAACATAGGATTAAGGAACAGCCATCACACAATTCACTAATCACAGTATTGACCAACTAGTTCAACAAAAGTACTAATATACATTATCTGTGAATAATAAATTAGCTCTACCAAATTACCAAAGGACTATTAAATATTGATTAAAAAGTCTGTGCCAGTGGTAAAGTTGGTATCTGATGTAGTTTGAACCAGCTGATTTTTCTTGAGAATTAATCACAGTAAAACTTGCTTTTCTGACTAACTTTCATGTGCCTCGTGAAATGGTAATTATAATTTTAAGCAATAATGCTTTTTCCTATTGATTTGCATATAATTTAGTTCGTAAGAAAGGCTTTCTTCCAAAATATGATGCAAAAAATGTTTTTGTTTTTGCAGTTAAATGGATTGGAGTAGGAAAATCCAGGGAGTCAATGATCCAGCTCTTCTAAAGATATTGGATAATTTGAAGAAAAGAAAGCACACTCCACAGAGACTGCTTGTTCACATACACACACACTCACACAGACATGTGTGTCTTAACCCAATAAGCAATTTATTTGGATGAGGAAATTGGAAACATCTTGTAAAACAACAATGTAAAACAACTAGAGGTAGTCTGGGGAAAAAACCCAGTTGTTGCTATAAAACATTGACATATCAGTATCATTTATCTTACTTACTTTGTAAGTTCCAATGGCAAGTACTGCCACCATTTGCCACTGATATTTTTTTTCTCCAGATGTATCCCCAGGCCTTTTTTCTGTTTATGTTTCTAAGTCTACTGTACATTTGCTTTTGGTGGTATTACTTCCTGAAATTTTGGATGCTTAAGATAATGCAGTTTTGCACAGAGTTTTACATCTTCATTTGTACTCCTAGAGCTGTTATACTTTGTATGGTTGCTGACGTAGTGTGTGATTAAAGAGAGGGGTGATTTTATAATGATGACAAACCTAATTTTTTGTTACAGTTTTTATTACAAGGATAATGAACCATAGTTTAGATGGGGTGCTTAATATGTATACAGTACAACTTAATTTATAAATGATAATATTGGAAGTGCTTATATCCTCGTATGGAGTTCATTCTCCCCCCCCCTTATTGATACTTTTACATTTCAGAGTTTCATCATTCAGTTCAATTAATCATTTCGTTGGCCTATTACCCAATCTATTCAGTAACATCCATTCAGAGGATGATTGGAAATAGGATGACCTAAATATCACTTAATTAGCTTCTTAACACAGAGAGTCCTCATGGGTTAAGATGACTTGACTACCCTATGTAAATAGGCTTCAGAGACAATATTTATGTAAATATTGACTTTTTAAAGAACTGAATTCATCCTTGGCAGATATTCAAGACAATATATTCTGTAGTTTCTAGTTGTGCTTTGCTAAATACTTTTCCTTCGAATATATTGTATGTCTATATTGATCTAGCTTGTAGAAATCTAAGTAATTTCAAGCCAATTATATTCTTTAACCTTGACACCATTCATGACCTTTTCTTACTCTGTGGGCATTATTTTGTAAGATGAAGAATGCTGATTTTCACTCTTGTTTCTATGTAATTCTTCTGTACCTTTATTCCCGCAGTATTTTAGGAGGGGTGAGCCACAGCTTCACGTAGGATGCAATAAGTGAATGTACATGTATATTTTTAACTGACATTTTATTAAGAGGTTGTATCTAATAGCTGTCTTACAGCACAGTATCTAAAAACAAGATGCTAACATCAGGGAATTTAACTTAAGTTTTCCAGTCCTGTTCATATTTGCAAGGTATGCAAAGTATTCATGTCATTTGAAGTACATTTTCCAGAATGTACATTTTCATGATCGTTGTGGTGAGTTTTGAAAAATATATCCTAGAGTGTGAACTCTTAAAATAATGTATTAATTTCTTTTGATAAAATGTGAGGATGGAGGGGAAACAGCAGCTTTTAAAAAATTTCTATGAAAATACCACCTCACTTTCTGGGAAAGTTAGCAGTAAGCTTTAGACCGATATAGATGTTGCATGAAGAAACATGATAAAGTTCTAACATAAATAGAAAATCCTTACTGTAAAATAACCATGATTCAACACTGTAATAGCTGTTATTTCTTTTTACTTTGGAGGGGAGGGGTTGCACATGGAATTTTATTTTGAAATAAAAGGAAATTTACAGTCAGCAAAAAGGGGCACACCAAGATTATCAAAATAATTTTAGACTAGGTTGTCAGAAAAATCATATGCTTCAATGACTAGAAGTTTTGAAAATGTTCCAGACAAAATAAATGGAAACCCTGGTGCCACAATGCCTTTTTAGAAGATTGCTTGTTTGTTAAACATGGTCTTGCAAAAATTGTAAGTCATCTGTTATTGACAAGATAAAGTATTTTAGAAAACCAAAGTTTTCCAAGTTTTCTTTGTACTCAGAAACAAGTATGTTATTTCTAATATTTCTGACACAAACAAGTGCCAGTCTTGATGCTCTGGCATGTAAATATTACAACAATAGTTTTCCTGCTGTCACATATGCCTTTTTCTTTAATATTACCCTGAGCCAATTTGTGTCAAAGATTCATTTTCCTGATTGCTGAAACTTAAAAAATAAATAAATCCTCAGCCCTGCATTTAGAATTCTTTTCATAGAGCAGAATTGTCTATGGAGATTCTCAGTCATCCAGATCATAGTTGTCCCAAAGATGCTTTTTCATGAGGCAACAGGACTTTCTTGATTTTCCTTTGAAGAATGCAAATGACCAAGCTGCCTGCAAGGAGTATAAATCCTTCCATTCCCCACCATCCAGTCAGAGCTCAAGAAGTTTCTTGGAGAAGAAGCGAAACATCTTCAAAGGAAAAACAAGAAAGTCCAGTTGCCTCGTGAAAAAGCATCTTTGGGATAAAGCAGAATTGTGTTTTGGTCCTAAGCACAGCATTGATAGTAATGCTTTCAAAATGGCCTCCGTCCACATTTTGGAATGTTGGCTTCTTGCATATCTGTTTTCTTACTAGACTAACACCAATATATTCTGCCTTTAAGATTTTATGCCTATCATTGATAGAAATACACTGAGCAAATTAGTACTTTTCTTACTCTATTATTTTCTATTCTTTATTTTTCTGTGTTTATTGAATATTTGAACATTAGTTTTATTTAAGCTTATATTTAGCATGGAGTGAATAATGCTAGAGCATTTTTTATATTTTATAAATATGCTACAGATTTTACTTTTGCACATATGAAGGGAAAAACCTCAGATTTTAGTTTACTGCACTCTACACACATTTAAGTTCTGTGTCTAGATTTATCAAGTTTCTTAGAGCTCTGTCAAATAGCCCATGGTCTTGAAGAGCTAGTGCTCTTATTGCTTGTTCCTTTGGGCCATGTATAACATACAGATGGTACAGATCCCTCAGAACAGTGTTTCTCAACCTTGACAATTTTAAGGCATGTGGACTTCAACTCCCAGAATTCCACAGCCAGCATTGCTGGCTGTGGAATTCTGGGAGTTGAAGTCCACATGCCTTAAAATTGTCAAGGTTGAGAAACACTGCCTCAGAACAACTTTACTGATTACACATTTGTGTTTGTCCCACGTTTTAAGCTCTAACAAGTTATGTCTAGGTAAAAAAGGAATAAAAAAAATAATTTTGCTTTCTACAGAAGCTGAACTGAAGAGGCTTCTTGAATGAGAAGTGAAATGTTTTCAGGGAATGCAACCCAGAAAGTCCAGTTGCCTTTTGGAAAAGCACCTTTGGGACAACCATGATCTGGATGATTGAGAATCTCCATAGACATTTGCTTTTAGAGCTTTAGTATCTTCATCATCCAGATTGGTTTTGTAATTGTAGAAAAGAGTGGCCCTGTTCTAATAGAATCTTTTCCTGTTAATTAGTGTGATTAGAAAATACATGTCCTGATCTTTTCTGTCATTTGTTAAATTATATCCTGGGTTATTCAAGAGTGGCCATGATCCTTACATCCTACTGAAAAATGTACATTGAGGACCAGAATGAAATAAGCACATGTTGCAGAAAACATGCAAGGGGCATATCAATTTCATTTTTCATTACGTTAAGTTGCCATGGAAGTGCTTAAAATGTGGTTTAAAGAATGGCACAAATTTGTACTGCTTTGTTACATGAAGCACAGACATTGTATATTTTCTCAGACTCTTTTTCTTAGTTTTATAGGAATACAAACCTCTGGCGAGTTGATAATAAATATCCTTAAATTACTGTGGTAATACAAAGAATATGCATACAATGCACATAATTAATTACAAATCTACAAAGCTGCCAATCTATGTTGTTCATGTCACTTGTATGCTGGAGCACTTCTATGATTAGAAAAAAATAAGACTGAACCAGGCACCCAAAAATGATAATAACAGGGTATGCTGTTGGGTACTAGTTTTTGATTAATGTGCAAAATTATTCAGTGCTCTTAAATGATTTCCCTTCAGTGCACTAGAAAGTTTCTGGAAAAATATAAATAAAAATAAATAGTGCCAATAATATTTCTAAATGTTCAAAATGTGTAGTGATGCCATAAAAATTTTATTAAATTATCCAAACAGATGATTAAAAAAACAGTAATAATCATGTAGTGACTATGAAATGGTAAAGAAAAATTGTTTCTTAGGATTTTATATATTACTTTTTAATTTTGTGTATTTAAGACAAAATAGAACTATTCATAAAAATTCGTATAACAATGACTGCTATTCACTACAGCGAGAGGCTGCAGTGCTGCTTCTTAATCCATTATTTTGCTGAAGTTCCATTTCTTAGACTGAAATATGTTTTCTTTATCTTTCAGCTATTTACAATGGAAATTTAGAAGGGATCTATATCAAATCTAACCATATTTAAAATTGTTCAGCTTTTGCATAGGGCTAGCAGTCATCTTTAGTACATTTGGATTAGAAGAAGTCTAATAGGATCTTTTCATATTGTTGCTTTAAAAAAGAGAAGAACTTCAGAAGTTAGAAGTTATCCAAAACCCATGAAAGAAGGTTTAATTCTCTCTTTCTTCATAGCAGGTGTACTTTTCCAAAGTGACAGTATTTCAGCATCTGATCTGTGGCGATAGGTATCTGCACTGCCTATAATTTTAAAAGAAAAATTGTTTTTGGTCCTGAATTTAGAAAACAAAATTCAAGTTTGACAATATTTGGTAGCGATGTGTAACCTTTCCATTATCTACATACTAATATACATAAGCAGACTTCAAATTCTCCAGATACATATTCCCCTTAAATGTATTTTCCCCTATTCTCTTCAGTAATTGTCTTCTTTTTTAATTGACGACTTGCCATGACTGATATATTTGTATTTTTTCACTTGTGTCTGGGAGGGGAATTAAGGGTTGGGAGGTGGGCTGGATTCACACCAAGGTCACACTCTGGCTTGGTTTTCATTTTGCAGCATCATTCCTTGCCATGGATAGATTGTTCCCTTCTAGCTCTGGAGTACTCTGCCTCCTGCTAGAGGTAGGAAGGACCTATTTAATCACTGTACCCCAACCAACTGACCCAGTGGAATTTTAAAGAGATTATGGGATTCCTGAAACTCTTGCATGCTCCGGGTGAGGTACAGTTACTACCTCAGATGACAACAGACCTTAGATCAGATCACACTTCTGTGGATTCTGTAATCTGGACTCCCATGGAACTTCGTGGTTTTCCAAGGAGTTGAAGGAGATGAAATATCTTAAGACAGCGGTCTGCAACCTTTCCAGCCTTGCAGACTGGTGAGGGAGGAAGAGGGAATGGTTCTGTACAAGAGGCGGGCGAGGGTACGCACGCAGCTCCTTTTGCACAAGTGGCAGTCATGCCTGCTGCTTGCACAAATGGAGCTGCGCATGCACTCTCACCTTCAAGCTGTGCATGCAGGTGAAACTGCATGCAGGCACGCTCACCCACTGCTTCCGAGGTCCAGTTCTGAATGGGCCACAGCCCGGTAGGGATCCTCTGTCTTAGGAGACACTTATAGTGCCATTCGAGGAAGATAGAGAAAATCTGATTGAGCGTACATAAGATCCTTCATTGGGATTTTCCTGATAGTGGTAAGAGCAGCAAAATGGGCTCTTATTGCATCTGCAGAGAGCCAACTGGTAGTCCTGTTGCAGGTGACCAGATGCCTCCTTGGTAAGGAGAGGTTGTGATTACTGTGAGGATTATTCTAGGCCAGTGTTTCTCAACCTTGACAATTTTAAGGCATGTGGACTTNAGTGTGTCTCAACCTTGACAATTTTAAGGCATGTGGACTTCAACTCCCAGAATTCCACAGCCAGCATTGCTGGCTGTGGAATTCTGGGAGTTGAAGTCCACATGCCTTAAAATTGTCAAGGTTGAGAAACACTGCCTCAGAACAACTTTACTGATTACACATTTGTGTTTGTCCCACGTTTTAAGCTCTAACAAGTTATGTCTGGGTAAAAAAGGAATAAAAAAAATAATTTTGCTTTCTACAGAAGCTGAACTGAAGAGGCTTCTTGAATGAGAAGTGAAATGTTTTCAGGGAATGCAACCCAGAAAGTCCAGTTGCCTTTTGGAAAAGCACCTTTGGGACAACCATGATCTGGATGATTGAGAATCTCCATAGACATTTGCTTTTAGAACTTTAGTATCTTCATCATCCAGATTGGTTTTGTAATTGTAGAAAAGAGTGGCCCTGTTCTAATAGGAAAATCTTTTCCTGTTAATTAGTGTGATTAGAAAATACATGTCCTGATCTTTTCTGTCATTTGTTAAATTATATCCTGGGTTATTCAAGAGTGGCCATGATCCTTACATCCTACTGAAAAATGTACATTGAAGACCAGAGTGAAATAAGCACATGTTGCAGAAAACATGCAAGGGGCATATCAATTTCATTTTTCATTAAGTTAAGTTGCCATGGAAGTGCTTGAAATGTGGTTTAAAGAATGGCACAAATTTGTACTGCTTTGTTACATGAAGCACAGACATTGTATATTTTCTCAGACTCTTTTTCTTAGTTTTATAGGAATACAAACCTCTGGCGAGTTGATAATAAATATCCTTAAATTACTGTGGTAATACAAAGAAAATATGCATACAATGCACATAACTAATTACAAATCTACAAAGCTGCCAATCTATGTTGTTCATGTCACTTGTATGCTGTGATTAGAAAAAAATAAGACTGAACCAGGCACCCAAAAATGATAATAACAGGGTATGCTGTTGGGTACTACTTTTTGATTAATGTGCAAAATTATTCAGTGTTCTTAAATGATTTCCCTTCAGTGCACTAGAAAGTTTCTGGAAAAATATAAATAAAAATAAATAGTGCCAATAATATTTCTAAATGTTCAAAATGTGTACTGATGCCATAAAAATTTTATTAAATTATCCAAACAGATGTTTAAAAAAGCAGTAA